ACTTGAAAACTCGCCGGAAACTGGGTAAACTTTAAACATTCATAACTTCTTCAATACTCAACGAAATCAAGTGATTCAAAAAAGAAAAATCATACTTCTTGACGAGAAGAAGAGAACGGTAACCTTTTTTGATGGCTAACTCGCCTTGGTTTGGCCGAAAAACGGCTCGAAAGTGGCTATTTGGGTCTTGAGTTAGCCACTTTCGAGCCATTTTTCGGCCAAACCACGGCGATCTAGCCATTGAAAAAGGCACCATTCTCTTTGTCTCATCGTGAAGTATGATTTTCGTTTTGAATCACTTGATTTCGTTGAGTATTGAAGAAGTTATGAACGTTTAAAGTAAACCCAGTTTCTGGCAAGTTTTCCAGTTTTCGCTCAGACCAGTCAACTTTGAGGCTATTTTCCGATCTTCTCCGGCAACCATTGGGCTTCCAAATAGGTATAATCGTATTCTACACTTTCCTATCTTCATTTTGATATATTATGGGTCGAATTTGGTTAATAAACGATTAAGTTACGAAGCTTTGAAAATTGCCCAAACTTTCGGCCAAGAGTTCCGGGACAATTAACGGAGTTTTTAACGGAATGACCAAAATGTTGGATGGTGGACAATCTCAGTGAGCACTTTTATTGATTTGGAATCTCAGGAACCAAAGTGATGAGTTATGCAAATCTCAGGGGACCATTTTGGCTATTTAGCCTTTTTTAACACACATATCCCACCATTTATATAATGACACGTGGTGTACCACTCCGTGTAATGGTCACACTAAAAAATCTCTCGTATGAATCGGAAAAGAAAGTGCTTTGTGGTGTTGCTTTTTTTTTTTTTAATGAATCCGAAAAGAAAGAGATTGTGCACTGAATTTATTAAATTTAGTATGTATAGTGAGTGACACACCCCGATCCCGATGTCCTTGGGACATCGATGGTCACGTGTTGGCCGACACCTGAAGGGTGACGAAAGCCATTTAATTTAAGCAAAAGCTGAGAAAATAAGGTAAAACAGGCAATAGGAACTAATAACACAAGTTCAAATGCTAATTTATAAAATTATGGTAATACACATAAGTTCAGAGCATATGTCTAATACAAAGTACAAGCAGAATTTAAGATAAAGAAGTGCTATTACAATAGGTGCCGAAGCAGAGAAGGTATAGCATTGAATCACTGGTAGGGAAATTCCTTGTAGCTCAGATCATAATCCTCGTTCATAAGTCCTGAAGGGGGCGCAAAACAAACATGAGTGGACCCCTTCAAAAATGCATGTTTTAATAGTAGAAATGCATTCATGAAAAGCATGATTTAATGATTATGTTTTATGAAACGTTTTGTGAGATAACATGCTTATTAAGGCTAGTTTGAATTATTACTATTTTTCATATAACTCGTGTTCTTATAGAATATCTTATGGATGACGATATGATATTTAGAACACGTTTAGAACACTTCTTTATAGTATTGATGATGGATGACTTTATACTATGAATATATAAAAGTTATGATTTGAGACAGTGCACGGCATGCTAGATTTTGAAAAATCTATGTTTATTATTATATATGTGTTTTCATAAAACCTGGGAGTTAGTACGTTGATAACTGTTTTAATTGTCACATCCCGGCCCGGGCCCCACCACATCCCGGGCTCGACTCCACCGTAGCACGATATTGTCCGCTTTGGGCCCCGACCACGCCCTCACAATTTTCTTTTTGGGAACTCACTCAAGCAGAACTTCTCAGTGGGTCACTCATCCTAGGAATGCTTTGGCCCATTTCTCACTTAACTTCGGAGTTCCTACGGAACCCAAAGCCAATGAGCTCCCAAAAAGTCTCGTGCTAGGTAGAGATGAGAATATACATATAAGGCTTAAAGGATCCACTTCCCTAGGCGATGTGGGATGTAACATATAGAGATGAAAAGACATATCTCGTCCAATGTACAACAAGCTCATTACATGGAGAGATTTTTCAATTTGCTCGGAACACAAGGTGGTATGTCAAATGTCATTATACAATTGAAGGGAAAATATTTTTTTCAAGTGCATAATAACATGTGTCATACCACCCCTGAAAAATCTCTCCATTGGATGCTCGTAATTGCTTCTCTAATGACATTATACACACACACACACACACACATATATATATATCCTCTTGAAGCAAAAGATAATTGTCTAGCCATAACAGTATGTTAACCAATTTCAATTTTATTGTCATGGCTTGTTATCTCTTTCAACAAAATGGTTAAATACTTTATCTGCTTTATATTACCGGTTTTAGTCTAAACAATATGTGCTTGCATTAACACTATTTTTTGTTTCAGGGTTTTCGACATCATATTCAGATTCAGCTCCAACTCATTACACTCTAAAAATCGGGTCGTTTTCATGGCTAACCAAAATTACAGCGGACAAATATGAGTCGGGTGGATTTGAAGCTGGAGAGTACAAATGGTAGATCTCTCATTTTATCATCAGCTAAAGTTTGAGTTTAATATCATCTTCTGCAAACTTATGTTTCACACTCACTGTCTGACATTAGTTCTATGATATTTTCTTTCTTTGTACTGCAATAATGTGTTTCGTGTATCATGTGCTGTGTAAGCTGGTTAAAAAAAGATGTTAGCCGTACTTTATGTTTGCTCTCAGGAAACTAGTGCTCTACCCGAATGGAAACAAGAAGAAAAATGTAGACGCCCACATCTCTGTTTACTTGGAAATGGTTGGAGCTGATTCATTTCAGACTGGACGCGAAGTATACGTTGATTTCAGGTTCTTTTTGCTAGATCAGAATAAAGGCATGTTCCTGGTTCTTCAAGATACACTTTACCTACTTCAAAAGTTAATTCTCATCAAGTGATCATATTCATAGACCGGAAATTTTTCTTCTTTGAAAATTGCAATGCTCCCTGCTCATTTTCTGATGATTATTTTTTACCTTGCGTATTCAATAGATGCCAATAAAAGGAAAAATGTTTCCATGCGATGATGCGTTATTCGGGATTTGATAAGCTTATCACTCTTACATCGTTTACTAATCCTTCCAACGGATATGTCATTGATGATAATTGTGTGATTGGAGCTGAGGTCTTTGTTTGTAAAGAAAGAAGAGCTAGCAAAGGAGAGTCAATATCGATGATCAAGAATGCTGTTATGTGCAAGCATGTCTGGAAGGTTGAGAACTTTTCAGAGTTAGGTACTGAATACTGCGAATCAGAGCCATTCAATGCCGGAGAACGGAAATGGTATCTCTGCTAGGCCCTTTATATTAATACCCTTAACAAGAGTTTTAAATTTTTAGTCCACTGTATAATCTTGTTTTACCTGCATGAGAACAAAAGGATATGATTTTTGAGTTTCAAACTGTATATGCAATTTTAACTACATAACTTTCGCACTAGATGTGGTCAATCACGGTAAAACTTGCTGAAATTTTGCTTCCCATGTACGAGTTTGCTCTTTTAATTGATGCGAGGTGAATTAGGTCCCATCCCAAAAAACAAGAGATCTAAAATAAAAAGTCATCATATTCTTCCCGATGTTGCAGGAAGATAGTGCTCAATGCCAAGGGATATGGCACTGGAACGGGTACTCATATTTCTCTTTACTTGGAATTGGGTGATCCAAAAACACTTCCTCGTATTTCTCTTTTCTCGGAATTGAGTGATCCAAAAAAACTTGCTGGTTCCAAAGTATTTGCAGAGTTTTCACTGCGCATTGTAGATCAAATGCATGCCAAACATGAGTGTTTTAAAGGTAAAGATTGTCCTGTTTCAGTGTTTTATTGCATGCATCCTTCATAACATCGGGGTGTATTATGTGTAGGTAACAACTGGTTCAGTACCTCAAATCCGAGTTGGGGCTGGCCTAAGTTCATTTCGCTGGACACTTTGAATCAGGCATGCAATGGGTTTTTGGTGAAGGATGCTTGCATAGTGGAGGCAGAGGTCACTGTCCATGGAACTGCAACTATACTGTAGTAGGCATGTCGTATGTTTTGGCTGTTGCTAAAAAGATGTTGTAAAAGCACAATCTAGATGTGGGTATACCGTAGTAGTAAAATCCTTGTTCACCAAATGACTTGTGATTGAAGGGTATTTTGATGTTTTAAATTAATTTTGGCTGAAGTTTGTGATTTTTGCGAATTGGAAGGCCGCTTTTCTTCTTTCTAAATATGTTATGCGTTTAACATATTGAGCCACTGGCATGCACATTTTTTAACATTTCACCTCGTCTATGAGGTCAGTTAAGGCTAATAAATAGGCAACCTTTGTGGATGATCACTGTGTGTTTGGAGCGGATGTCCTTGTTTGTAAAGAACGAAGAACAGGACATGGAGAGTGTCTATCAGTTCTCAAGAATGCATGCATGAGTATAAGGAAGGTAAAAGATCGGCCAGGTACACTGAGTGTTTAACTGTATATAATGTCATATAACATGAGGGTTTATTTCTTCTGTGTAGATGATCACTGGTGTAGTGCCTCTCAATCGCACACATGGGGTTTGTGGTGAAGGATACTTGCGTAGTGGAGGCAGAGGTCACTGTCCATGGAATTGCGGAAGCACTATAGTCAGGTTGTATTAGATTTCGGATATTGTTAAAATGCTGTTAATCAACTTATGAATATGAAGTTCTGCGTCCATGATATGGTTTGTACTAAATTAAAGTGGCGTTCTTGGAACCCTAGAGCTGCAGCCCCTTCCCACTTGTACTAAAAGTGGTGTTCAAAAATCTGTCGTGTGAGAAATATGTCGAGTCTTGACCAGTAAATTTCAAGTAGCATCTCGTGTTTAGCTAAAAACTTTGTATGGCAAGTCTAATCTTAACTTGTTCGTCAATGCTAAACCGTAAACATTGTTCCTTTTAATAAGAACTAAAATTCCAGAACATGTGTTTGGAAGCACCCACAAGTAGGTATTGGATACCTTTTCAATGAAACCAAGGCAACCCTTTAGAAGCAAAGCATAACAGTTCAATCTTCAAAAAGGTTTCAAGTTAGGAATAACACCTTTAATATTTCCTTTATAAAAGCGGCAAAACATATTTTGTTCTGCAACTGAAAACCGATTGAATTCTTTGTAATCGAATCATTGAAAATTAAGTTTATCGACATGACTAGTCATATCTTCGATGGTAAGATGCTCTATCTGTTTGCTTGATTGTGTTGGAGTTGAAAGCAGTAACTATTGTACAAATTTTATTTCAGGGATTTTGAGAAAAATTTCTGATGCACCGCCAACTCATTACACGGTAAAAATCCAGTCGGTTTCATTGCTCACCAAAAAATCAGTGGAGAAATACGAATCCGGGGACTTTGAAGCCGGAGGACACAAATGGTACAATCCTTTCTCTCAATTTCTAAGAACAAATTCTTACTATTCTTTGTTCGTAAGCTTTGCAATAATTGTTGGTATTTTCTTCTTATTTTCGAGCTACTTAATTTAGAGTACTATAATTTGTTGTTTTGCTTCAGGAAACTGGTTTTCTATCCAAATGGAAACAAGAACAGGAATGTAAAAGAACACATCTCTCTCTACTTGGTAAGGTCAGGATCAAATGCTCTCCAGGTTTCATCGGAAGTGTATGCTGTTTTCAGGTTGTTTTTGCTCGATCAGAACAATGGGAACTACACTGTTTTTCAAGGTACTAATACTTTCCTTCAATTCACAAATATAAACAAGCTTATAGTTCTCATAATTGTGAAGCATCGTCTCATTTTCTTATATGTTTTCCCTGTACATTGCTTAGAAGAAAAGGAAAGGTGCTTTCATGGGTTGAAACCCGAATGGGGATTCGATCAATTTCTCTCGCACAAAGTTTTCAATGAAGCTTCCAATGGATTCCTCATTGATGACAACTGTGTGTTCGGAGCGGAGGTCTTTGTTTCTAAAGAGAGCATGACAGGCAAAGGAGAGTGTCTATCGATGGTAAAGGATCCTGTTATGTACAAGAATATTTGGAGGATTGACAACTTCTCAAAGCTAGTCGGCGAATCCTACGACTCAAAAGTATTCACTGCCGGAGACCAGAAATGGTATGTAACCCTGAACTTGTTAGACTTCGCTTCCTGTATAAGAAATTTCTCTCAAAGACATCGGAAACTTAAGCAGAGTCAAGTAAAAGTTTTGTAAATATGTTGGTTGCTTTGCAGGAAGATGCAGCTCTATCCCAAGGGAAAAGGCAATGGAATTGGTACCCATCTGGCTCTTTATCTGGCGTTAGCCGAACCGAAATCTCTTCCTCCTGGCTGTAAAATATATGCAGAGTCTACCCTGCGCCTCCTAGACCAGGTGAATGGCAGGCATCAGTTTGGTAAAGGTAAAGATTCGTTATTCCTGTTGCTACATAATCATATGAGGAAATAAGGATTTGAACATGTTACAAACTTTAAAATTAAAGGGTGGTTTTATTGCCGCCCCCTAATGAAATTCACCCCATGGACAACCTCGGGTGCTCGAGTTCTTCGTGGCATTTGAATCGCGATGGCAACGACGATGGTGATGCTTATTGTTGAACTCTCGTTCAGTGGAAAGTTGATATCGAGAATTTTTGCTTGCAATCCACTGAAAATGTTCACAACTTTTTGGTTGGTTGTTGCGAAATGTTGCGGGATGTTGAGACTCTTGTTTCTAGTAGAAAGCAACTGAATATTTTGAGTAACATTAAAAGAACGATAAATCGTACACAAACAACAATTTAATCTGTTTACTGCCACCTAGTTTTATTTTTTATTAAAAGTTTGCAACCTATGTGTACGTTTTAATCCAAAATACTTGTAAACTGATAATACTTTTGGTGCTTGTAGCAAATCATTGGTTCAGTGCCTCAAATTCGGAATGGGGATGGTGGAGATTCATTACACTGGGATTTTTGAATCAGGCAAGCATGGGGCTTGTGTCGAAGGATACATGCATCGTCGAGGCAGAGGTCACCGTCCATGGAATTACTAGTGCACTGTAGCCGAATTGTAAAACAGTAATAAATGTCTGCTGTGTGAAACTTTGGGGCGTAAAATACTAAAAAATGTCAAATAAGGTGTTAAAACCATATTCGCTAGACTTATTAGTCCTGTGTATGGAAGTACTGCTTCCGACCTTCATGGTGAATAAATACATCATTCTCTATTCTTCATATGCTCTTCTTGTTTTCGATTTCTTTTTTTTCCTTCAAAAATTTTGTTGTGCAGCCACGAAACCCCACCTACAGCAGGCCGAAAGATGGGAGGGCAACTGGTGAGCCACGCAAAGCTTGCCCAAATGCCCACTTGCGCCAGCGGGTAAGGTTGACGTCGATATTACATCAGCAACGTTTCTGATTTTTTTTTTATTTTTAATTTATTTTTGTGTTTGGCGCGTATAATACACTCACGAATGGAGGAGAGTTTGGAAATTTAATCTCCCTAACATTACTCTTTCAATAGTAAGACGGTTAAAGCACCGGGGCATACTTTTGAGGCACTGCAAGTGCAACCTCAATTCGACAACTCTGGTAGTTTACGGACGAAAAGTTTGGAAATATATTGGGATGGGAAAGAAAAATGAGACTACTGAATTGGTAAATGTTGCATTATTAAAAGTACCAACTTTACAGAATTCACAATGAATCAAATATACAACGAACGTGATAATACAGAGTGAAGCACGCCTCACGGGCCCGTTCGGATTGAGAACAAGTTAACAATGAATACTTACAAGTCACTGAGATGGACGAGGCGATTAGATGATTAGGGGAGGAGATGGCAAGGTTAACCAAAGGTTTTCTCGCTGCTGTAACACATATACAGGAAACCGTCATCCTCCTTGTAAGTTTCATAGATGGAATCCATGCGACTGGCTGTAAATGAAATAGATAAAAGAGAGCGTTAGAAGGTTCGAAAATGATGCAGACGCTAAACTGGCCGAATGGTTAACAGGCTCTTTTACCTGTTTGAGGTAAAGTGTTCTTCACAAAAACAAAAAGAGCTTTCCCCGGAGTCAAGTGAAGCCTGCTGCTTAAGATATGGATAAACTGCCCGACAGACATATCTCTAGGAACAAGGAATCTAGATGAAACAAGGAAACACGGATTAGAGGTTATTCTCCTTAAAGTGCGAATGCATAAACAATAGGCTAAAATTGTCTAGGAAGTATACCAATTTCTACAAACTTTTTGAATTATCTACATTCGGATTATACTAAACTGCAGATAAGGGAAACTCATCCAACCACACATCTGCTACCAAAGGACAGAAAAGCAAGCAAAAAGGTCAAACGATCCTCAGAACACAGAGACAGAGCAAGTAACAGAAGCCAAGCTCTCTGTTTTTCAGGAACGAAAAGTTATATAGTCAGGATTTCTACAAGTATGCCAAAGAAACTAGGAGGAAGGACCTAGAGACGGAAACTTTACTTGGTCGTACCCAGTGCACAAGGCTCCCACTTTACGCAGGGTCTGAATATCAAAATTCCTGGATGCTAGAAAGTGTTATTTGCAAGTTTTGATCTGAAACTATGAAGCCATATGGGATACAGCATTTAAGTTTGTTCCTAACAGAAGAGAACTGTGGCAACTAAAACATACTTTTTCTTTTCCATTTCCGGCAGGTCTGTCCTGGAATATCTTTCAAGGATCACCTGCAGAAAAACATAAAAAGAACACCCTCGTCAGTTTTGACATCGTATCAACGCTCGCAACAAATCTTCCAATAAAGTCTAACCGTGTTGCTTCTACTCAAATTAAGCCGCTCTATGATTGTACACGGTTTTCACATAAAATCTTCCTAAAATAATCACTTCCTCCCGTGTTTGTCAGATCTATACACGACAAGCGACGAAAAAAACATCGATCAATAATACACAGCTCTCGGGGGTGACAATGGGAATCATCATGTTTAATTTACTTCCATGTTCCAAAAGTTTTGGAAAAAACTGCCTGAAAGCGATCAAACCCACATAACACATCAACAACTGTAGAAAAGAAAATGACGGACATTCTTCACATACGTAATCCACAGGAATTAAAATTTGTCCTTTTTTCAACAGACAAACCAACAATTTGCCATTTCTAAGCATCCATCCATCAAAATCTTTCAGCCACTAAAATGTTATCATCTCTCAATCGGGTCAAAGTCAAATTGTAATAAAATAATAAATTAATAATTTAACAAAGCAAAAACGCGTAAACAAATCCAGAAATTCTAGTTAACCAATAGCATCAACAAGAACATATTTCAATTTTTCAAATTACAAGTGCATTATTTCCCACAATCTTGGCATTTCTAATTCACATTTTTCCAACAAAAACAAAAATCACAGAAAATTAAACTAAAAATTGCAGAAAATTGAAAACTCACCGGAACTCGATCTGGGTATTTCGAAATTATATGTTTCGATTCTTCAACTCGTTCATCTAAACCAAAAGAAAAAATACCCAATAATTAGCACCACACAAAAAAAAAAATTCACAATTTCGCACCTTTTCCATAAATTATTGAATAGAAAATAGAGGAGGGAAAATCAAACCGAATGAGAACTCCTGCTTGAAGGACTGGATCTTCCCCATAAAGCTTGAACCTTTTTCCCTTTTTGAGATTGAGAGAGAGAGAAGAGAGAGAGTCTGAAAAAAGCCTGAAACGAATCAATCAAAGCAAAACTTTGGGACTCTTTTTCTTCCAATTTTATAGAAAAAGTTTAGAGAGAGAGAGAGAGAGGAGAGAGAGGGGGGACAGAGAGAAAGACGTGTCGAAGAGGAGAAAGCTACAAGTGTTACGTACACCGCTCACAAACGCACCTCACAAGTCGTTTTCTGTTGCTTTAAGCTTCGGCGTTCCTTTGCTCAACAACCGATACGTTGCTCGGTCGTTTTTGGGCCGAGATTTTCGGCTTTTTATGCGGTCTGCGGGTTTTAGTGGGCCGGATTCAGCCCGATCCGAAAGGATATGGTATCTTTCAACAGAATATTTCCCATGCCTTTAACAAAAACAAGAAATTATATCCTTTAGTCTTTTGGTTCGGTTTAGTAGAAGATAGTAGAAAGGTCCTGCATAAGTTTAAGGATAGTTCTATCTATACACTTACTTTTACTTTTTACATATCTTTTTAGGTTTCGATCATCGAATCAAATAAATTAAAGAATATCAATAAACAAAATTAATAATGACCTGTGAGAGGTAAAAATGGGTATAAATATCACTATCCAAGTTGAAACCCTGGTCTTCTCTCAATGTATTTGTTGCCACATTCTTTGATCAAGCAATATAGCTCGTGAAATTTAAACTCCGAATCTCCTCTAACAAAATTAGAAGATCTGAACTAGGTCAACATTTGGATGGATTCATGAGCAAGGAAAGAGATTGAGAAAGTCATCCATGAAATCGAGCAAATGGAGCAAGCCCATAGGTCCATATCAGGGGCCCTGCATAAAAATAAAAATAAATGTATGTTGTAAAATAGGAAATATTGATGTGATATTAATGGAAATTCATTTAACTTGATATGGTGTAACAAGAATAATAAGAGAATAAATAATTGAGATTAAAAATAAAATATTGTTGTAGGCGTATATGATTGAACGATCTAGAGGGCCGGCAATATTGAGGGGAGAAGAAATAGTGATTTAATTGTAAGGTGTATTTGATTCACCTCATTGTGCCTTTACTTATAATATGATAGGTAAAAACTTTTCCCTTTAGGATTACAACATTTAATAGGTATTATAATCCTAATAGGAATATAAGATATATTCTCATATCTACTAGGATTTACACAATCACATTCCTATTCTAAATATGGCTGCAACACTCCCCCTTGAGTGTGTAAATACTCAACATACCATCGCATCAGATCTTCAGCAAATAAGGTAGATTAGTTGATGAAGTCATCGACACAACGGGTGATCACGAGTCTCAAATTTATTTGAAGTACGCATTTGTAGTAAAACTCACAAAATCTCGCTATGGTAAAACCCAAGGCATAGGAAAAACTCATAGACTAAGAAGAAAAGTGAGAAGTATGCATAATGTCTAAAACAAATGTCAAACAAGACGAAAGTAGTGAAATCAACGGAGTGTGATCATCCCAGGATGGGTGCCTCATTAAAACCTAGTTAGGTAGCAAAAACCTAGTGGGAAAAATCCTTCTAATCGTAGGAAAAATAGTACATTAAGATCATGTGAGTATGCTTCTAGATACTCCCCCTGAGTTGAACATAACTTCTAAATAAGAGAACTATAAGCGATTCAACTCAGATAATTTACACATACCGATTCCTTAGATGAGCTTCTAAAAACTAGACTTGGGTAATGACTAGGTGAAGAGATCGGCCAGGTTGTCCTGGGAACGGATTTGCTTGACTTCAATGTTCTGATGCTGATGCTGCTAGTGTGAGTAAAATAACTTCGGCGCTATGTGATTGGTGTTGTCTCCCTTGATGTATCATTTTTTTAATTGCTCGATACATGTTGCATTGTCTTCAAAGATCGCCGTAAAAACGTCAACGATTGATGTAAGGCCACGAATGCTTCGAATGTGTCCCATAACTTCTCTTAGCCAAAAGCACTCACGCAATGCTTCATGCAGGGCGAGAATCTTAGCATGGTTTGACGAAGTCGCAACTAGCTTTTGCTTGGTAGACCTCTAAGATATAGCAGTGTCTCCAACGGTAAAGATATAGCCCGTTTGAAAACATGTCTTGTGTGGGTCAGATAGATATCCAGCATCTGCGTAACCAACAAGGCGAGAATCAATCCGAGGACCATAGGGGGCGGCAATACTCGGAGATTCGCGGGTATAGAACAAGCCCAAATCTGTTGTACCATTTATGTCACGCCCAGGACCGACACGTGACATCATAAAAAACCCGTATATCTAACATACCCCGTCTCCGAGATATGTATCAAGCTCAACTCATGCCTAGAATTTGCGTAGTAATTTTTTTTTTCCGTATACTTTATGGCTGCATCTTACCTCCTCGTTAGACTGCCTACGTACCTTCAATAGGGATCAAGCCATTCGTAGTTCACCATTCACAAAATCAGACATTTATCCCACTGAGTTCAAGCAGAAAGGCATAACATTCCTCAATCATTTAATATAACCTGATAACATGAAATTCCCGGGCTCAGGCTACATAACAAACCCTCATGAAGTCATGATTTCTCTTACATCCTACATATAAATCATTATGTCTCATCATGATATCACAATTCACAACATACATCATATTTAAGAACCGACGAAACACAAAACCATTCTCTACCCACATTAATTAATGAATTTGATCAAAGTAATAACACTCATTCCCATATCTTCTAAATTCATACCTTATGAAATCATAATCGAATCGTAGAAAATCTCAAAGGAGTCACCCAGACGTCCAACATCTTTTCTAACTCAATTCACAAGATTCTCGAAACCATTGACACAAATATATATATATATATATATATATATATATATATAACTAAGGCTAGAGTGATGCAGTTAGGCCAAGCCTACTTCTCCAAATAATGGGATTTCATACCACTCTACGCAATCCAACAACCTCGGGTTCCGAACCACTTAACGGAACCAAACTAAATATGATCGCCTATCAAATGTAACAAGTACAAATAATCATCATCACCTTTATAATGCGTATGGTCCCCCATCGCGGATATACCAAGCATGATCACCCCTAACAGTCCCCCATCGCGGATATACCAAGCAAGACTGTATCATATAAGTGTAGGTAGTGATCACCCATTGCGGATATGCCAAGAATGATCACTCCTCGCATACGTATGATCCCCCATCGCGGATATACCAAGCATGACCATCCATGTACCACTACTACATGGTGCGGTCTCATCATCACACATTATACCCAATTATATGTATACACGCTATCGATTCCCCATATCAACCAGCATCTAGTCATATGGAGCACAACACAAGGAATTCCCCTAATTACTATTTCTACTAAAAAATCTAATAAAGTACCTAACTCATCTCCTGACTTTCATCCCTATCACATACTAGGTAGTAATGCCAAGTTCAAATAGGTATTCAGTTGGCAATCATATCCAAATAATTATCAAACAATAATTAGATCCCATAATTGTCATAACATTCATCATAATTATCATTCACATTATTAAAAAGACAATTAAACACATATATATCACAAACATCATTAGTACACAAGCCAAATCATATGTAATAAGCATAGGTCTATGGCTAAATATATAAAAATCACATTTCAATAGAAATCATATTTATAAGACCAAATCATATTCACAAATGATACCAATATAAGAAATTAAGATAATAATCATATCTCATATATTCAAGTCACTATCTTACCAATATAGGCCCACTAGACTTCAATTAGTCCCGTAGTACTAATTTTATTATTTAGAACGTTTCGAGACATGTTGACCACAAATCAACTCTCGATCAACGATAAGGTCCACAACTCTACGTAATTTGATCCTGAAGATCCTTATATCGGATTTCTAATCCATAACTTCCCAAACTCCACATTATGCTTCTATAATAACATACTAAAATTTCATTATGATCCAACGGTCGGATTGTCGTCAATCACACAAACAAGGGGCGGTCCAATTTGATCACCACACCAAACAATTGAATTTCGGGAAATCGAGTTAGACATAGGTTCAGAAGGTCACTAGAAGGTATTTGGTACTTAGACCATACTCGTGGACGGTCCCACGCACTGCCACACGCGGTGGTAGCCAAGGTGGAGGGTTTAGAAACCCTGAATTTTCAACATTAACTAAAAGAGCTCAAATTTACCTAGTAGTTAGAGCTCAACAAGGGAAACACTTTTCAAAACCAGGCCGACGATAAATTCTAACCAGAAACCGTCCAAATTCATCGGAGAAAACCGGAGTTCTAGGGTTCTAAACACCCAACTCTAAAATGAACACGAAAGCACAAACTAAGCATACCAACTTGAAGATTATGAAGAGTAGATGAAGTTTCATACCTCACTCAAAGGAAATGGTTGCTGCAAATCACCGGAAAAATGATAAAACCGCTGGAAAGTCGTGGGCTTTGTGGCTTTGAATTGCAAAGATGGAAAAGAAAATGGGAAATCTAACACTACAGAGATGTAGGGGTCGTCAAGAGCTTTCCATGGACACCAAGATCACCCAAAACGGAGCTCGGACGGAGGAGATACAAGCGGGTCAAGTTGGTGGGTTAACGAATCCATTCTCCTCCCCTCAAAACGGGTTAGATTCAGATCCTCCTTCATTTTTTTTTTTAAGAAACCTCCCTCCTTTCTAATTGGTTCCTTACTTTTTTTTTCTGTTTTTTTTTTTTGAATGGTCCATCAGCTTTGATTGGTTACCATTCCCACATAATGAGAGTTTTAATTAATTTATAACCTATAGTTTAGTAAAACGATTTTAAACATCCGTAACTATACTGTAATAATTCGAACTCGCAAACAGCTTTCGCCTATGCTTTCGTGATTTCAAGATCTATTCGAAAACGTTACTTGTGACCTCGAAAGTCAACGAGTAAATAATAATTTTTCAAACTTCACTCTTCGTAACTAGTTTAATTGAAATCTAAATTCAAATAAATTAATATAAATTCTCGAAAAATAATATAAAATCTCAATAATACAAATACGTAGATTATAACAGTGAAATCCAGGAACGGGATTTTACACTTGAGGTAGGGGAAAATATCTTTAACACTATTCCAGTATCTGCGTATAGGCGCATTGCTGTATCTT